TCCCTCCCCCCACCACTGGCTTGTAAAACATGCCAGGTGTGGGACCAGCAGTTAGTGTAATGGCTGTCACTAGGCTCCCATGTAGTTTACCACGGTTTGCGTCCCGGAATTCGGTGGCTTTAACTCACGCTGGGCACTGTGTGTGTGCCCAAGAAAGCAAGAGGAGAATGGAGAAGGGATTGCGGCCTGGCCATCCCCCCTGGGGGGGGTGACTTCTCACTGTCTTTCAGGCGAGCACACGCACCCTACAACAAAAACCTCTTAAAAAAAAAAAAAAAAAGCCAGGTGTGTGTATATCCCAAATCCCCAATAGTATGGAGAAGGGATTGTGGTGTGACCACACTCCCTCCCAGGAGTTAATTTCTCAATCCCTCTGGCCAGTGTAACAAACCCTATACCTGGTGATCCAAGGAGATCAAGTCTATAAATGGGGAATGAATCATTGCTTTAAGTGATGAAATTTTGGTTTTAGCTGAGGGAGGATGAACATCAATGATACTAAGTTCACAGGAGTGAAAAAGTGTAGAGAAATGAAGGCCTATGCCCAAACCCAAAGTAAAAGCATGAATTTTCCCATGTTACACCCTATTAAAAGTATTAAGTGGAAGGAAAATTTTTCCAACAGGATTTTACAATTCCTAAAATCTAAGTATTTCTGAATAACTTCTCCAATGAATTAGACAAATGAGATATCCCTATTTTACTATAAATAGCAAAAATGGTGACTAAATAGGGTATGCACGTTGTATAAAGTGGCAGAATTTAACATTTAAAGCAATGTCTCCCATTACCGTATCAATATGGGTTTGGCTAAACATTTTGAAACTTACCCAGTCCTCTATTTTTGTAAATTAGTACCTGCCCACTAGTACACTAGATCCTCAATCATAGCTATGTATCAGAATCAACCACACCACCTTTTATGAAGACATGTAGCACTCCATATCATCCAAATCAGGATTTCAGGGGACTGCAGCCAAAGTGAATGCACTGCCATACGTACAACAAAACCTCATACGTCCATTGATACTATACCACTTACTCAACTAGAAGTCAAGAGTAACCTGACTCAATGGCATCTAGGAAATCTTTATAGTCTTCAAATCAATAGGCACTCTGAATGAAAGTCAACAAAGGGTAACAGATGATAATCAATTTATTAAAATAGTTGACTTAGGCATCTGCAATGGTGACTTCAACCTCAACTCCTGGTTCGATACTGATGGAAGTAATCTGTTTAACAATCTCAGAAGGACTGTGCAAATCAATGAGTCGCTTGTGAATTCTCATCTGGAAACGATCCCAAGTCTTAGAACCTTCACCACAAGGTGTTTTTCTTGTAGTGATTCTCAATGTCTGCAACAAAAGACAAAGGAAACCTTATAGTTTTATGCTTGTCCTGAGTGCATGTGAAAAATCAGTACTTTTAAAATTCTCCATCCCACTGTTCCTCCTAAATCAACAGGTTTTCAGACACCATTAATTAAAAAATGGCAAGTCCATTTTCACTCTCAGAACAGCTTGTACACATTAAGCAATGTATCACAGCAATAAAGTGAAGTCACCTCTAATCCTTAGTATTCTTTATACCAACCAAGTTCTGCCAATAACTTTAATTTGGGTTTCTGCTGTTAGCATCAGCAAGACAAATTCTTTTGGCAGTCAAACCCCTTAAGTGCAAAAACTTGAATTTATACATCCAGAAGCAACTCCTACACCCTGATCTGAGGATTTGTCTTTACCTTGGTTGGCATCCGAACTGGTCCTTTCACCTTGAGATTCTTTTCCTTTGCACCTCTGATTAAGTCAGCACACACTACGAGCAAATCAAAGCATCTCTTAGTTCACACAAAACAAGTTAAAATCAACTTCAATTTCAACTTTAGCTGGCTCAGAATAGCGTATAAAATTATCACCATAATTCAACATAGTAGGTTATCTCCTCATCGCCAACTGTTAAATGGGTCTTGTGAAAAGCAGCAAAAAGAAACTTTAGACCATTCTTTTAAGCTCTGCATCTTACGAAGTCTGAGTCGACCTCGGACGTTAAGTCAAATTTTTGACTTTCTGTCCAAAGGCCTCACACCAAAACCCACAGTACTGACCTTTCTCCAGGGACTTTACGTTGCGGCTGGTTAAAGTAATTCTAATTCGGTGAATGGCCACCTCTGGCTCCACAGGTGTTTTTCCAGTATCTTTAAAAGCCTGATTTACACAGACGAGAAAAGTAAAGCTAAAGTCAGCTATCACTTGTAGAGGAAAAACTTCACTAGTAAGTCCCTTGGGTTCCTCCCCCATTTTCGAGCTTACTGAGAGAGCGGGTCTCCCCCATACCGCCTGCCCTCACCCCGGCATCCGCCCCAGAGGACTGCGAGCCCCGGCCCCGATGGCGCCACGGCGCCTTCCCTTTACCATGGCTGCGGCGCGGCTTCCTGACCGACTTGTTCCTCGGCGAGAGCGAACAGCGGTGAGTCAGGAGCAGAGCGGGCCGCCGAAGATCCCCGCCACCTGCGTCCGCTTCTTCCGCAAAGAGAAAGGCGCGCGGCCCGACCGGTATTTATATAGCACGCTTTCATCCGGGTCCCACACGCCCCGGAAGAGGAACAGCTCCGCACACTCCAGACGCGAGCGAGCGAGGCCGGGCCGCAGCCCCACGGAGTTGGCGAGAAAGGTGTGGCTGCTGCTCCCCCTGTCGGCAAGGCGGACCCAGAGCCGCGCGGGCTGAGGTCTCCGCCAGCGGAGCCGCCACCTGCTCCCGGCCGGACAGGCGAGCTTGATACCCGAAGCTGAGCTCTTCCCTGTCGCCGTCGTAAAGTGCAGATAAGCTTTGTGGCTTTTACACTGCCACTTGGGCTTCCCTTACAAGCCCAATCACTCGTTCTTTAAACACGCGAAGTGCTTATAACTGACACGGAAACCGGGGGTCACGATTTTGACACGCTAGACACGTGCTATGCCAGCTTCTGGCTTCTCGGCCGGCAGTGGCATCTCCATCTATTCCAGGGAAGGACCAGAATCCTGGGAAAGCGAGGGCGAGGCCGGCTGCGGGGACTGTCCGGGTGGGGTGCGCTGCCCATTTCGCCACCCGGCTCCACGGCGGTCTCCCGGCTGCTCGGGTCACGGGAGGCTGGCCAAGACCCCCGAGACTGGACAGCTCTCCATGTCGAACCAAGTGCGCGCAAAGCCCGGGAGGGGCAGCCGAGCCGAGCAGCGCAGGAGCTGGCCCTGAACCCTGGGAGCCCAGGCGGGTTAAACCGTCGACACCGCGGACTCGGGCTTTGCAGCGCGGAGGGAGGTCCGAGACCTGTTATCTCACAGGGACGCTGCGAGCGGGCGTGAGCGCCGGGACACAAACGGGTGTGCAACGGAGCTCTTAGGAGAGTTTGACTCGACGCTTCCGTCAAATAATCGCATTGAGTTACGTGGTGATAATCGGACATGGCTAACAACTGACTTTCTTTGGCTCGCGGTATATTCTAGGCTTTGCTGCCAGTTAACAATCGACTTAAATGTTAAGATTTGGATGTTTTCCAATTTACTTATTTTGAAAAGTAATCCACGGCCTGTAAATACTCTGTTAGCAGAATTTGCAGCAGCCTCTAAAACCTTGCAGTCCCATTTCAGTAGCTGTGAGACCCAGCTTACTGGTTTCACTTGTTAGTGGTCCTGTACTTTCGGCACATGGACTCCTAGGCTTGCTTTGCCTTGAGGGTACCTGAGGAAATACAGAAGGAAGTTAATTTCCTGGAAAGTAACCATTTGGGGAAAAAAGGAAAAGGAATTGCCATGTAGAAAAGGCAAGATAGACCTTTGGGAAAATGGCCCATGCGACTGGAACTAGGGAACAGCTGGTTAGGGTGGTGTTAGGGGCCGGCCCAGCTGGTGGCATGGTGGTTTAGGCAGCGGATTCCACAGGGCTGACTGTGTGTTTGAGTTCACACCATGTGCATTTGAGAAACACACCATGTGCGTGTGCTTGTGCGCCCAGAGTCCCCGAAAGGGAGAATTGGAGAAGAGATTGTGGTGTGACCATGCCATGCCCCCGAGAGGAAGCGTTCTCACTTCCCCTCTCGCCCATTCTGGCCGTCTGCCTCTCTCCCACTAGACTATGAGCCCTCTAGCAAAAAATAAAACATTAATTTCCGCTATCCTATGTGCCCTCTAGCAAAAAATAAAACATTAATTTCAGACAAATATTTGACAGATGTAATGAACAAAATCACTTTTTTTTTTTTTTTTTGGAAAATAGTATGACAGTTCTTCAAAAAACTGAAAACAGAGCTACCATGTGACTCAGCAATCCAAAGGAAAGAAAGTCCGTTTCTCTGAGTACTAGCAGGTGTTCATACCAGCGAAGACGTGGACACAGCCTGCATGTGCCCATCAGCAGATGAACGGACAAGAAAACGTCTCCAGTATGACGACAGCTCCAGGAAAATGACGTCTATCCGACTTTGAAAAAGAAGGCACTTCCTGTCCTTTTGTGGCAATAAGCCTGGAGGACATTATTCTAAGAGAAAGAAGCCAGGCACAGAAAGACAAAACCTGTAAGATCTTAATTCTGTGTGAAATCTAAAATGATCAAACTCATCGAAGCAAAAGCAGGATGGTGGTTACCTGGAGGCAGGGAGGGAGGCGGTTTGGGGAGTTGCTGGGGAAAAAAAATCACTACTTTAAAGCTTATTAGTTGGAATTTCAAACAGTCTGTTGTATTTGTCTCTTGAAAAATAGCAGCTGCTGTGGTGCCCAGACTTCTATTTAAAATACGGGGTTTTTTTACAGAGATTTTTTTGTTTTGCTATAGGGCACGTGCACTTGCCAGAGAAACCGAAAGTGAAAAAAATCACACACACACACCGGCAGATGGCCACACCGCAATCCCTTCTACTCCATTCTCCTCTCAGTATGTGTTTTAAGCCACTGGGTCTGGGACTCGAACCATAGTCAACTATATGGGAGTCCAGCGACATAACCATTACACCATCTGTTGGTCCCCAAAATATGTTTTAATATTAGATGTAAACTAGAGACCTTCAGTTAGCATAGTTCGAGTCCTGGTGGCTTAAACTTAAGCCAGGCATGTGTGCATGCGTGCCCAGGATCCTGAGAGAAGAATGGAGGAGAAGGGATGGCAGCATGGCCATCCCCCCTGGGGGGTGATTTCTCGCTTTCTGTCTCTCTGTCTCTCTCTGTCTGTCTGGCAAGCGCACGCGTCCTATAGCAAAAACCTCTCCAAAAAAAATTAGATGTAAGCTATTCACTAGAGGAAAAAGTAGAAGTAAACAATAAGCCAAAAAAAAAAAAAAAGAAAGAAAGAAAGAAAGAAAACATATAATTTCAGCATTTCCAAGATAGCCAATGTTTCCATCTGTAGGTATGTATGTATCTCTTTAAAAGAGGGCTTGTAACCTAGGTACAGTTTGGTACCCTACTTTATTCTTATAGGTTTTTTTTATTTTTAAATTATTAACTAATTAATGAGTTCATTTGATTTTTGTCAGAGGGTGTGTGCACTCACTAGAGAGAGAGAGCGAGAAAGCATTTCCCATAGGGATGGTCATACCGCAATCCCTTCTCCTCAGACCTTCCTTTCAGGATTTTGGGCATGCACACAAATGCACCTGGTGTGTTTCTCAAGTCCACAGGTCTGGGACCCAAACCACCTGGTCAGCTATGTGGAATCTAACTGTCTCAGCAGAGAGAAACAGAGAGCAAGAGACAGAGGGAAAGTGAGAAATCTCCCATTAGGGGCATGGCCATACCACAATCCCTTCTCCTCCATTCTCTTCTTGGGATTCTGGAAACACACGCACACACACCTGGAGTGATTTTCAAGCTGCCTTGTCAAGGACTCAAACCTGCGCATGGTCAGCCATGTGAGAATCCAGCCCCCTACATACCACACCACCTGCAGCACCTCCACCCACACCCGCCCCATCACTTTCAATAACTGAATGCTCATTAACTGTGTTGAAGACTCCTTCATAATTTGTTGAATCGGTCTTTTGTTTTTGACACTAAGTTTGTTTCCCACTCCAATAAACAATACCATGAGGTACAGGCTTATAGCGTGAGGTTTCTCAGTCTCAGCACAGTTGACATTTGGAGCAGGATAAATCTGTTTTGGGAGCTGTCTCGTGGCAGGATGTTTAGCGGCATCTCTGAGCTCTACCACCGGGTGCTAGCAGCAATGCCTCCTTCAGCGCTGAGGGACGCGTGTCCAGATGCTGTCAGAGGCCTCCTGTGTGGCAGAAGACCCTGGTCGAAAGCCAGTACTGCAGATGATTCTCTCAGCTCACCCTTTGCCTAGATCAACTAGTAGGTACTTGGATCTAGTCAAAGAAAAGGCTATTTTAAAATTTTTATTTTGTTTAGTTTTTGCTATAAGGGACATTGCACTCGTGCGCGGGTGAGAGAGGGGGAAAGTGGAAAACCACGCGTGGGATGGGGGCGTACCACAGTCCCATCTCCTCTATTCCCTTCTCTGGACTTAGGGCACACACACATGCCGGGCATGATTCTTGAGCCACCAGGTCTGGGACTCGAACCGCAAAGCTGGCCATGTGGGATCCAACACCTTAACTTCCACACAATCTGCTGGCCCCAGACTAAGGCTATTTTAAATACCTTGGTTTTGTGGAAATTGCCCTCTGTGAAGGTTGTACCCAGATAGATATTTCCTCCAGCAGTGTAATAAGGATGTGAGTGTGAAAAATTGAATTATTTTATTCTAACTTTAAGAATATCACTAAAACCATCATGAGAGCCTTCCCCCACCCCCAAATCTGTTGTAGGACGTGTATGCTTGCTGGAGAGAGAGCAAAAGAGAGAAAGCACTCCCAGTGGGGGTGGCCATGGAGTAGTCCTTTCTTCTCCATTCTCTTAGGATTTGGGGCATGCATACACCTGGTGTGTTTTTCAAGCCTCTGGGTCCAGGACTCAAACCAACACACAGTTGGTCACATGGAATCCAGCTGCCTTAACCACCATGCCACTGGCTGGCCCAAAATATTTTTTTCAATACCTGTATCCAAAGCCTTCCTTTACTAATTTTTGTAGGTTTTTTTGGAGAGGTTTTTGCTATCGGGCACGTGTGCTCGCCAGAAAGACAGAGAAAGAGAGACAGAAAGCGAGAAATTACCCCCC